CCTGGAGTACTGTGTCCAGTTCTGGGCTCCCCAGTACAAGAGAGACGTGGCGCTCCTGGAGAGAGTCCAGCGGAGGGCTACCAAGATGATTAGAGGGCTGGAGCACCTCTCCTAGGAAGAAAGACTGCGCGAGCTGGGCCTGTTCAGCCTGGAGAAGAGAAGATTGAGAGGTGATCTCATAAATGTATGTGTACAAGTATCTGAAGGGGGAGTGTCAAGAGGACAGGGCTAGACTCTTCTCCGTGGTGCCCAGAGACAGGACAAGAGGCGACGGGCATAAACTGAAACACAGGAAGTTCTATCTGCACATAAGCTGTGAGGGTGACAGGGCACTGCAACAGAGAGGTAGTAGAGTCTCCACCTAAACCTGAGAAAAAACTTCTTGACTGTGAGGGTGACAGAGCATTGGAACAGGTTGCCCAGAGAGGTAGTGGAGTCTCCTTTGCTGGAGATATTCAAAACCCGTCTGGATGTGATCCTGGGCAATATGCTGCTCTAGGTGAGCCTGCTTGAGCAGGGAGGTTGGACTAGATGATCTCCAGAGGTCCCTTTCAACCTAAACGATTCTGTGAACCTGGTCTCCTTAAAAGAGTGTTGACTCAACTCGGAACAGACAAGTCTAGCGCGCAGTTTGTCACCACCAGGCACCTCAGAGACCTTCAAGGCAGGCTTCGTAAAAGTCTTCTGTCAATTTTCTGCATGAAGACAGCAATCCAGGTTGAAATTATAAATGAAAGTCAAAATGTGAACAAAATGTGAATGCCTAGCTTGGAGTCTCTTCCAGTGTGAATCTGCAAACATACAGATGTATGAAGGAAAAGAAGTTATCTGACCACTAACAGGAATTCTCTATAGTGCTTTCTCCATATGTACGTTCACCAACTCCATTCCTTCCCTTCTCTGGGCACGTGCCTGCATGCTACCTGGCTTCTACAGGTGGGAGGAAATTGTAGGATGCGTAATGTACGCAATTGTTCATGTTCTGTGCAAAGTCACGTTAGGTACTGCAAAGGCAGAAGGTTTCCAGATACGATTGCCTGTGGCTCATGCACACCCATAGCATGGCATGTGTCTGGAGAGTCTATTTTGAAGGCTTCTCGCTACTGCTAAGTAACTCTCTTTGAAGTAGAACTCGGATGTTTTGCCTGCATGTCTCCTGTAAGCTGCCGAGCTTGAGGCGCTGTATGTACATTGTAAAACAGGATTCACAATTGACAAATTGGAGCAGTCGTTAAGAAAAAAAAAGTTAAAAAAAATTCAGAGCTACACCAAGAAATGCAGAGACAAACGAATGAACCTGGTAGCTAGAGCATATCATAAAAGAAGTGTGCATCAACATATTCTGCAATTGCGAAAGAGATGCGCATCATGCTGGAGTATGTGGAGTGATATTCTGGGTGGACCTACCAATGCCACATAAGGAGGATTTTTATATAATAATTCAAGGCATTGCAGTTTGTCAGAGGTGTGGGACAAATAGAGATTCCAGAGGAGGACAACAGAAATGATTAGAAATCTAGGAAGAAAGACACACGATATGGACTGGGGAGATGAAGGAACAAGGGTTGTGTAATCTACAGCAGTGTTTTTCAGCTTTTTTTACTTTTACTTCATGTTTTTTCCATATTTGGAGTTTCAGGCCAAATGTTTGGCTTTTTAAGACTAATCGGGCTCCTATATGTAATTACTTCTGTGGGCTCTTAGAAGCATCTCACTGACCACAGGCTGAAAACCACGGATCTAGAGAAGAGACATTTGAAGAGAGGGAAGGAGAAAAATGAATTCTGAGATAGTTTAAGAGAAAAAGACAATAAACTGTTCCCTGCACTCTCAGTGGTATGTGACTGGAATAGTGAGCTTAAATTGCAGCAAGAAAGGATTAATTTGAACAAAACAGTTTTTGAGCAATGTAATGATACACGCCGGAGTGGAATACCTAGAGAAGCTGTAGAAACTCAATCAGTATGTTAAAGGAAAAGCTAGACAGGCACAGTTGATTACCTGTCTACCTTGTGTGGGAATGCGTGGGAGGGGAATGGGTTTGGACATCTCAAGTACCAAGCACTAGGGATGCTTATCGACCTTTGTGGGAGTTGCATGTACTGTGCTCCTCAGGGGCTGCAGACCAAAGTGATAAGTCTCACCAATGAAATGTGCTGTGCAGCTCGAAATGAAAAAAACCTCCTTACACCTATGTGTAATGCAACTTTATTGTCACCCCTTAATTGGCTATCAGAATTGACTGCTACCTTTTCCCTTTTCTACCCATGACATATGTTGCTGTTTATTGGGTAAATGCATTTACAACCTATTGGTACAAATTGTGTTTTTTCTTAGTGTTTGACGATTATTTTCATTAGCTGTAGTTGCAGGTTAATCTGGGAACCACCTGGTGGTACATAAGGGATTATAACTGTAACAAAATTTGTATAACAAAATATCTCTAATTGTAACCAAGACATCCACAAGATGTGTGTGCGTGCATTTGTAAATATAGTTAACTTTTTTTTCAGCTACAAGAAGAAAGATGCAGATTTTTCTGTGGCTCAAGGTCGCATTAAGGATCTTGAAGTGCTGTTCCATAGAAGTGAAGCAGAACTCAATACTGTCCTGAATGAAAAACGCACTTTGGAAGCAGAGGTGGCTGATCTGCGTGCCCAGCTTGCTAAGGTGTGGCAGTGAATGTTTCCTGGCTTTAGCACTAGAAAGCGTGCGTCTTGTAAAATTTGTTATTTTGCTGTCAGTTTATAGTTTGAACATCATTGCTCCTGAATTAAACAGTACGAGACATCCCTAGCTCACTTATTGCTTAACCTGTATCTGTTCCTCTTGGATACAAAACTAAATTTAAAGAAATCTCTGTAAAACGCTCAAAGTAACGTAGTCTGTTAGAAAATTTCCTAGCCAAAAGTTTTTATTTAAATATTCTTGGTACGTGCTTGTCATGAGATACCAGTTTACTAAATGTTGTCCTTTGTAAAGTCCTGCATTTTTAAACTTGTGCTCAAGTATCCAGTGGGAGTATGCTTGCAAGAAAAAGAAAAACATTCAATGTACTATGCTTGAGGCATTAGTAATCCTCAATTCCTCATTTTCATACTGCATTTAAATACTCCAACACTGAAATAGCTGATATACAAACATGAAACCTCTTTTAAATATTGATAAATATAAGTGCATATATGCCTATATTTACATACTTTTTCCTTTTTTATTGTTGTTTTGTGGAAAACCAGTGGCCAGATTGGTGGTTGTGAATAATTGCGCCAAGGATGCCAAATGAAGGCCATAAAGGGCTTGTAGATGGAAATTAAGGATCCAGTCAAAATTAAATTTTTAGCTTTTAAATTCTTTTACCAGGCTGAAGATGGTCATGCTGTTGCTAAGAAGCAGTTAGAGAAAGAGACGCTCATGCGTGTGGACCTGGAGAATCGGTGCCAGAGCTTACAAGAGGATCTGGATTTCAGGAAGAACGTGTTTGAGGAGGTATTATTGACCTAGTAATCTCATCGTCCTTTAATGTTTGTATCGCTGTTGTTCATACTGACTATAACCAATTACTAACTAGTCCAGGTTGGGAAAGTCAATATTATTATCCTTGCTGTAAATGGATTAAATGATAAAACAGTTAAAGATTTTGCAAAAGTTGCATAGTAAATCAGTGGCAGAGTTGGCAGTAGCACCTAGTGACAAGGGTATTGTTTCATGGACAGCTGAACTAATTTAATAGCTCACTGCTGTGAAAATGGGAGTCTTGCGCCCCCTCTCCATACTTGGCTGCACGGTCCTGCCCTGTATTTGTACCAGCCAAAGCTCGTACTAAAGTGCTTGCTGAACCTCGCTGTGACCTGTTTTCATTGACCAGCACAGTATGCTATTACCCTGCTTTTTGCTGGGGTAGTTTTCTGCCAGTTTAATGAGTTGAAATGGCTCACAGTGGTTCTAATGAGGACAGATGGGGACTGGGGGCGGGGGTGGGAAACGGTAGCTTGACCTTTTCCATGTACCAGTAGCAAAGTGTTATATCAGTTTACTCCATCTTGTGAAAACTATCTCTGATCTTTGATTCTTCTGCAGCCCAAACTTACCCAATTGCTGGCTGCTGAGCAGCTGTCACATGCTCCTTTCCCTCCTCTCACCCGTCTTAGTTCTGGTGTTTGGCTGACGCTGCACAAAACCCTTTCAGCCGAATAAGCTGGTAAAATACTTCAGGCTTTGTTGAATTTAATTTTTTTTTTCCAATTTAGTGTCTGAAGTATGTCTTACTACAGGATCAGATGAGTACCTGAATGTGGTTAAGGGAGGGCACAGGACTGTGTGGCTAAGGACAGGGGCTGGAACAGGGCAAAGAAAACAGCCAGGTAGATCACCCTGAGTTGTACTGACGGTTACCTCGTTCCCATGCCCTGGATTAATTTGATTGCTGCAAGAAATTGCAAGTGACAGACCCTTGCTTAGTTGTAGTAGGGTATTACAGTCACTCTTTGATCCCTGAGAAGAACTGTGTTGCTGCTGACTAAGGGTAAAGTTAAATGAGACAAGAGAAGCTAATTTTACAGCTAGCCATGCTAAAGTAGGGGATTCTGTTCCTTTAGCCATCACTGGAGCACTCTGATTTCTGTCTGGTCAGATTCAAAACATCCAAAAAAAAGGAATTGGTTTCCTTTAGGTTAGTGGATTCATTTAGTTCAGCTCATTCTAGTGGTGATCAACTGCTACATCAGCTCAGCCCTTCACCTGACGCTCTGTGATGCCCCATGATATTTTTGTGGCCTTCAAGGGATCGTTGCCTACAGTTACTGGGAGACTGCTGCTTGCCATTTTTCTTGGCATAAAAATTCACCGCAGAAGGGAAAATAATTTCTTAAAGATCACATCAGGGCATATTGCTCTGAGTAGAAGAGCTTATTTCTAAGAGTCTATTTTTAGATGTGATGCTTTTCTGCAAAATAACCTGTAAAGTAGTTCTGAATTTGTGTTAGCCTGCCATGACCCCAGTTTAGGCATACTGCTTTTCGCCTCATGACCATGCTGCTACCTTCAGGCGTCCTGCCAGGAATCGCAGCCACTCTCTTGTTGTTTGTCCTCCCCTGAAGGCAGAAATGGTTTCCTTCTCCTAGCATCCATTCAGGCCTGGTGAGCTCTGTGCACAGCTCAACATGAGTAAGTCCATGAGTGTGTCTTATGTCACTAGTTTGGGATCAGTGTTCTAGGCACAGAGAGTTCATGCTTCTCTAAAAACATAAACTTTCTCAGTACAAACTCTAACCAGAAAAAATGTATTTATGTCTTCTAGAAAAGACTGTGAAGGGTTTGCTGAGGTTGCTAATTTGTTGCTAATGTAATCAAAATCTAATGCATAGAGGTCATGCAGTTTATAGAAAAAGAGAATTTTCCTTATGCTTAATAGTGAAATTTAAAGATTCGGTTTCTCTCTGTAATGATGATATTCAGTTTCTTAATGGACACAGAAGGTGTTTGTTTTTATTTGACTCCTTAGAGACTATTTGCTATTGTAATATACGTGTGTGTATTGAGAAAGGAAAAGTTTGTATTGCAGCACATGGGATCTCTCTTTGCTGTGTAAAAATTCATTTTTCTTCTACCTCCTCCTTTTTTGATTATTGTAGCACAAAATAGCTCATTGCTTAAAAAGTACGTGGATATTTTTAACTTGTTTTTAAGTCGGATCACCTTTATGAATTATATCCTGCAAAGTGAGAAGGGTAATTTGCATCTGTTAAGACATGCAGTAATTCTTAGCAATACTAAAGCTTTTTTTTTTTTTTTAAATAAAATATTGGACTAAATGAAATAGATTATGCTGTTTATCCTAATGTGCAACTTTGCCCCCTTTTTTGTATGTTTAGGAAATAAGGGAAACAAGAAAACGGCATGAACATCGTTTGGTTGAGGTAGACACTAGTCGCCAACAGGAATATGAATCCAAAATGGCTCAGGCCCTAGAGGATCTACGAAATCAGCATGATGAACAAGTCAAACTGTACAAAATGGAGCTAGAGCAGACCTATCAGGCTAAGGTAACTACTGCTATCTGCAGCACTGTTTGACAGTCAGTCCAGTTGGTGGGATAAAGCCATTTCATCAGTCTTGCTGTCTTTAAGGAGACAAGTAACTGTAATTTGAACAAGCTTTGTCCTGGGAGTCAGATGCCGCCTTCTGCGCTTCCGTGCAAATTGATTCAGTGATGTAACAGTTAGTCAAGAATGGCCAGTTTGTGAGAGAACACGAAAATGCTGGTGACTGAGGAAGAGAGTGGGAGTGGTGTGTCACACAATAGCTGTCTTTATAATGTCTTCTATTATAAATTTATATTTCGTGATGTTGATAGATCCAGGTTTTCCTCCACAATGGAGGTGCTGGAGGAGCCTTCAATACAGTGCAATAAGCTGTTTCTAAGAACTGTTACTGACTCTGCCTGGAGGGATGAGATGGTTTGGCCATTTTGGGGAATGCATGCATTGGAACTTTTCTCTTACTGGGGCCTTTGCCCCCAGGTTCTTAACTGGCCCTAATATATATTTTTTTGAATTGTGCATAAACCTTATTGCATTTCAGTGATCTGAGTTAATTCTGAATCAGAGAAATACTAGGTGCAGTTTGTGATTTCACTGAAGAAAAAAAAACCCAGGCTATGGGATGTTTTTTGAGCAGCCTTTGTGATGAAAACCATGGTGTTTGAAAACCTGGAAACGTTAACAGAGTGAGAAGTAATTTAATCTAGAAGAGTGCTGCATAAACTTCTTCAAAATATTGGCATCCTTTTGTTTTACCCACCTGTGCAAATTCTGAGTTAACAGTTCATCCAGCGCTGGGGATATGGGAGGAGTAGCAACTTTTATTACTGGTACAGTTCCTGGCTACAGGTATATTTATATTCATTCCCCTACCTGAAGGGGATAAAGCAGCTGCCAGTTGTCTGGCTACTGAAGATATTTACCGATAATTTCAGCCACTTCTCTCTTGCCTGGGAGAAACTGTGAGACTTTGTTTGTTTGTTTGTTTGTTTGTTTTTTTGGGGGGGTTGATGATTCACAGTCTGAGAAACATTCATCTAAAATATTTGACTATTTCTTAGAGCAGCAACAATATAGATAATAGATATTAAAAAACAAAATGAACAATTAGCGTTTTTGGTGTTACTCAGGGACATTAGGAATGTATGATGTTTTTACACAACCAGATATTTGGACTGACTTGTCACAGTCAAAAGAAGATCCAGGGTAGAAGATTCCACATAGAAAGAAAATAGTCTGCAAGGTACAGAGCAGGAGAATGAAAAAGTGGCAGGGTTTAAACAGCGAGAGGAACAAATTAAACTTTTTTCTCCCCATAGATTGGGGAATTCCCCAGTGACTGCTGTTAGGGATGAAGCTGGAACAGATAAGAGTAATAAATGATCATCAAGAGAGGGGAAAAACAGGCTTCTATGTGAGCTTTGTTTTGCGGATTTCTGGAAAAAAATGGATCCTCGTTCAGAATATTGCCCTATTCAGAGAGCTTGAGCTGTTTTGGACTATAGTTTGAAAGCAGCTTGTTAAGCTTAGCTGTTGAGCATCTCTGAGACTGCTTTTTGATGAGGAGGATCTTAGTTCAAAGCTTACTTCTTGCTCTGGCCATGGTCTTCGGTAAAAAGCAATGGAAACACTAAATCTGAGAATTTGGTATTACGCCACCATAATGGCAATGGAGGTGAATGGTTGTGGGCATTTAAATGCCTTTGAATTTTAAATTTTACAAGAAGTTATCAAATACTATTTGACTTGAAGTTCCTTCAAAATCCTTTGCCTAAAAAAGCCTCTATGCGTGCTTTCTTCCCTTCTCAGAGTTCTGTGAACAGTGCAGCTAATGAAAACTCATTTCATAAAGCTCTGTGGCTAACTAGAAGCATGTTTTGATTGGAACTGTTCCTGTGGTTGGGGCACATAATTGTTTATTTCCTGTTTGAATTCCCTGGCATCTAGTAGAATAGTTGAACTCAAGGCATGAAAAAAGATGCTTTTTTCAGCTCTCTACTTTGATGAAACTTGTTGTAATGTACCAGCTTTGAGCTGCCTTTATTGCTCTGTCAGATTTGGTTAAAACTGGCCACTAAAATTGAAGATTGTTGTTGTTAATTTAATGTAAGGAACAACAAGAAACATTCAAACTGAATGTTGGGAACTATTAGGAAAAGAAGAGGGAACAAAACGAGAGGCGTTATTTTGCGGCTGTGGCAGAATACCATCTGGAATGCTGTGTGTAGTTCTGGTCCTTCTTGTGAAAGTAGTACGGAGTAATACAAAGAAGGCCAACAGCAATGGCCAAAAATATGAAACAGGTCCTGCATGAGGAACATTTAAATATGCCTTAACCTGAGAAAAGAGGCAAGTGGAGAGAAGGGGGGGAAATACAACATAAATCTATAAAATGGCAGTGGCATGGAGAAGGGGAATGAGGAGTGATTGTTTACTATTTTTCAGGATTACTAGGGATAGTTAGTAAAACTCTCCTGGGGCAGGTTCAGAACAAAAAAAAGGAGATTATGTTTCATTATTATATACATAAACTCTCTGCCACATGGATGCAAAAAGCAGAGACAAATTCCTGCCTGAAAAATCCATCAAGAGATACTAAGCACCAAGATATTGTCTCTGACACAGGAAGTCCCTGAGTTGCAAACAGCCAGCTGGGACAGCATACCAGTGAAATACCATTTTATTCAGGTTAGTCCCTGGACATCTAGGGAACTGTTAGACCAGGTAACTTTGACCTGACCCAGAATGATTGTTCTTATGGCAAACTGGCAGATAATGTGATCACGTGAACCTCAGTTTTTAGGAAACTAAAGAGCTGCATGTGTAATGGAAGGGATAATGCACTTTTTTCTCTAATAACACAAGCAGGTTCTGTTTTTACTAAAGCATGGAACACAGGACTAGGACTGAAGTAGATTTTTCTAGGTCCTTAAGGCATTTCCCTGATGTTACATAATTCTGTTCATAAACTTATCATACTTCCATTTAAAATTATTTAAGGTTAAACTGCTTCTAGTTCTTATTGAAAGGAAAGTAAGGAAAAACTTCTTGACTGTGAGGGTGACTGAGCACTGGAACTGATTGCCCAGAGAGACTGTGGAGTCTCCTTCACTGGACATATTCAAAACCCAACTGGACGTGATCCTGAGCAATGTGCTCTAGCTGACCCTGCTTGAGCGGGGGGGGGGGCTGGACTAGATAGTCAGTCCCTTCCAACCTCAACCACTCTGTGATTCTGTTCTGTGATTGTGTGATATTTGCAGAATTTCTAACTCAATACAAGTGACTTGTATAAAACTTGATTTCTAGCTGGAGAATGCCAAACTTGCCTCTGACCAAAATGACAAAGCTGCTGGTGCAGCTCGGGAAGAGTTGAAGGAGGCTCGCATGAGAATAGAATCTCTCAGCTACCAGCTTTCTGGCCTTCAGAAACAGGTAAGGGGACTAAATTGGCTTTTATCTCTAATAATATCTCTAAAGCTTTCTAATGTGTGGATGTATTCCAATATCTGTCCTATTCTTTACACTTTCTGAGTTTGATGGGAACGAAAGTTTGTTATATTAATTTGGGTGGAAGATGAATTTTGAACTTTTTTGCTGTCCCCACATAAATGCCAACTGGGTTTTGCATTACCCTATCTCCCTAGGCTAGTGCAGCAGAAGATCGCATTCGTGAGTTGGAGGAAATGATGGCTGGTGAGAGGGATAAGTTCAGGAAGATGCTAGATGCCAAGGAGCGGGAGATGACAGAAATGAGGGACCAGATGCAGCAGCAGCTTACAGAGTACCAGGAACTGCTTGATGTTAAATTAGCACTGGACATGGAAATCAGTGCTTACCGAAAACTCCTGGAAGGAGAAGAGGAGAGGTAGGTGCAGATCCCACATGCTTCTGTTAGGACTAGCAGGTGTTATTTTCACTACTTATATTATTTTTATTTTGTACTGTTTGAGCAGCAATGTCCAAATTTTGTTTCACTGAAGTCATATTGGCTTCACACATCAGTATGCTGCATGCAACACTTGCAAGTGTTCTCATCTGCACACGTCTTGGTTAAGATTTTATAATGGTCTCAAAATACAGTAAAGTATACCATTCTGTGCTTGGCATTTCTCTCTCATAAATGTTTACACTTTGGTGTTTCCCTGTTTTTGTATGATCAGGCCCAAGAACAGTGTGCTTAGAGGTAGATTTACTGGAAGGGAAGGTTAAGTGGTCTGTGGCTTCCGTTAGCACTGCTGCCATGTCACATAACCATATTATCAGAGATATTCTCTGGCTGTATAACCCCCTTCTTCACTTATATGCAGTCCTCCTGACACGCACAGTGAGGCTGCTTTTAGCCCTGGGACATAATATAGTCTGGGTACTGAGTATATTGTGGCATATTATGTTGTGTATGGTTCCCTAGATCAGTTAAAAAACATCTAACTTAATTTTCTTTCTTTTGATTAAAATGCATGCTTGATTGTGTCAAGGTTGAAGCTGTCTCCAAGTCCCTCATCCCGTGTTACAGTCTCTCGGGCTACCTCCAGCAGCAGCAGTAGCAGTGCGTCAGTTATTCGCTCTTCCCGAGGCAAGAGAAAACGGATTGAAGCAGAGGAACTTTCAGGCAGTGGGACAAGTGGAATTGGCACTGGAAGTATTAGTGGCAGCAGTAGTAGCAGTAGCTTCCAAATGTCCCAGCAAGCTTCAGCTACTGGAAGTATCAGCATAGAGGAGATAGACTTGGAGGGCAAATACGTTCAACTTAAGAACAATTCAGAGAAGGTGAGTGTCAGTAGAACTCCTAGAAAACATGAAGGAAGAGCTGAATAAGAGATGTTACACAGCCTTTTATAGCACAAGCAGGTAGAATCATTTGAGGAGGAAGAGCAGCATCTCAAGATGCACCATCCTGCAGTAAAGGACAGAACTTTGGCAGTTTTGTGCTAGCACAAGTGTAATGTTTGGTGCAGGAAGAGAACGTAGTTTATGTCCAAGATTTCTAAACACATGCATGCTGGTACCTTGCTCAGGGAAACAGCCTCACTGCCTCTTGCAGAACTTCTTGCAAGAAAAGAAACGTCTGTTTAAATCGTTGCTGCATGACCATATGGGACTTGCACTTTACAGTATCATTGGGTACAGAAAAATACTTGCAAGTTAGAATGCAAGTGACTAACAACAATGTAAGTAAGTTTTATATTCATGCTATTTTGATAAGTAAAAGAACTAGAGAAGGCTGTGATACCTGCCTGTTAGTTCTATTTTGCTGACCCTAAATGAACTTATAATCCTCTCCATTAGGATCAGTCTTTGGGTAACTGGAGATTGAAGAGACAAATTGGAGATGGAGAAGAAATTGCTTACAAATTTACTCCAAAGTATGTCCTCAGGGCTGGGCAGACTGTAACAGTAAGTCATAGAATGTATTCTTTTGTTGATATGGTGGCAGTTGTAAATCTGGCATTTAGTTTGGCTTAATTTGGTGTACAACTTTTGCTCTCGTAGGTCTCATTTTGGAGGAGTAGGATTCCAGTTCTAAAAACATTAAATAGAACCTGAATTTCCAGTTTAAGACTAGAGGTTCTCAGTCTTAATCATAGCCGAACAGCTCTTTTCTATAATTTTATATTTGATATTCAATCTGCATCAGATACCCTTTCAGTAGAAAAGAATGACTTTCCTTTGGTCTGTTCCGATTATTTCTACTTAAGTATCAATTGCATCAGATACCTATAAAAGATTAAATTGGTACACGTACAGGCTGCATTTTATATCTCTACTCCATATTTCATACAGTGCAGTCATTGAGACTGTGGTTGGAGAAATTACTGTATTCAGAAGAGAACTGATGACTGAAATACTAGATGAATTTCTTTTTTCTTGCCTTTAACTGAGACTAGTGTGGTGGGTTTTTGTTTGTTTGTTTTTTTACTGTTTTTGTTTGTTTGTTTTTGTAGACTGAGAATGTTATCTTCCTACAAGTAATGGTGTAAGTTACAGCAGGGTAGAACTGCTGTTAGAATTTGAGAAAAAAACTGGTAGGGAGAGAGAAGGAGGAGAAACAGGGATTTTGTATATTCAACAATAAAACGTGTGCAAACAGCTGGTAACAGTGTATCTTTCTCACTAGATCTGGGGTGCAGATGCAGGCGTATCTCATAGCCCCCCTTCTGTTCTTGTGTGGAAGAATCAAAGCAGCTGGGGTACTGGAGGAAATATCCGCACATACCTCATAAACTCTGATGGAGAGGTAGGCTTTGCCTCTAGAAAAGGGCTGTGGGCTGGGTTATATCCCAAAGTCTTTAATGAATTTTTTTAAAAGATCATTATTTTAAGATTTCCTTTATTGTCTTCTAGAATAAGATAATTTATAACATTGAATTAATTAAATATCTAGTATCTATGAGATTTTAGGAAACTTCAGAGAACTGTGATCGTCATCCTGATCACACCCATAGACTTTTTTTTTCCTATTTTACAAAACCTCCAAACCAGTAGAGGATTTGTTTGGAATTTGAGTATGTATTTTATGTAGAAGAGACAAAATAAGTATTGCTGGCAACCCAAAGTTAGTGCTTCCCATATTCTAGGATTTATATTCATAAATAATATGAATGCAGAAAGACAGCAGTCTTTTCAATGTTGAAACTATATCAGAAGTTTCCATTTGGCACAGGTTCCTGTGTATTCTGCATTGTCCTACATCTGCCCGCAACTGATTTTTTTAAAACCATCCTTGTAGAAGACTCTTGCAAGGGAGGATCGTACTTTGGCTGTTATTCGTAAATGTGCCACTATCTCAGCAGTTTGGTAGGAATAGGAAAGTGAAACAGACCAGAATTGTACCAGTTTGCATACTGCCTTTCTTGCTGGCAATTCTGTGGAAGCACTTTGTGCAAGAACAGCAGCACAGGACAAGGTAGGAGGGAGGATCATTTGTACAAATGGAAAACAAACTAACTCGGTATTCAAACAGAAGAAATAATTAAACAAGTATCTGAAAAAATCTCAAACCCATGTCCTTTCCCGTTGTGTTTATTTGTAGCATCTCTGCTTAGAAGTGTATGTTTAGGGCACCTTTCTCCACAAGTACAAATTTGCACCTACAATTCCAAAGGTGCAAGGGCTCAGAAGAATTTCTTATTACTAAGAAGTGCTAAAAGTAATTTGGTAATAAAGGAAGCTTCCTAGGATTTTAAAATTCCTTTTAGTGCCTGATTTGAAAGACAGTCCTGATAATTGACGTAGGCAACTGATACAGAATATTAGTAGAAATAATGAAGAATCCTTAGTGCTGTGCAGTCATGCTGAGAAACTTTTAATTTAGTTTCTTGCATTTCAGTATGTCTCAGACAGCTCCTAGCTGGGTCTGCTATCACCATGTATAAAAGTAAGTAATGAGCACAACAACATGACCCGCTTTTTCAGATCTGTAGGTAATGAAAGAAAATTGCTGAAGCTAAATTACATGACTTTGCCTTCTGGTGAATAGAAATAGGAATGTTTTGTGGTTTCCAAAGTCTTACCTGGTGTTTGGTTGCAAAACTGACATGTTGAATCTGGAGGGAAGTTGCTTTAATTACCCCTATTAAAGTTGGGAGGGTTTATATTGAAGATATAGCAAACACTCAAGAGACAGCTAGAATACTGACCAGCTCTTCATCTGTCCATTTGTGTAGGAAGTTGCAGTGAGAAGTGTTACTAAATCAGTGGTCATGCGAGAGAATGAAGAGGAAGAGGATGAAGTAGAGTTTGGAGAGGAAGACCTTTTCAACCAGCAGGTAATAAAATGGCTTAAAAAGCAGATGTTTAACTTGTGCCTGGCCAGCTGGATTAAACAGGCATTGGGCTGTGAAGGTCCCTTCAACTTTTCCCAGCTCTGAGCTTTCCACTCCATTTTTCCAATGGATGCCTGCAGAGGATGATGTCAAAACAGTCTGCAACCCTGAAGCACTACTACAAAGCACAGAGAGAATAAACACTGAGCAAATTCTTTCAGGAAGAGCAACTTGAATCAATAATTGTACAGTTCAAGCAGTAGCTAATGTCATGTCAGGATGCCAGGATATCTATGAAAATATCCTATGGATCACAGATTTTCAGCATTGCAATAGCTTAGAGTATTTTTAGGGTTAGTAAGATTAGTTTTAGCAGTCAGTGGTCCTCCCATTCCTGCGTTTGTCCCTCTGTAAAAAGATCTGCGGCATTCTTGCTCTACACAGAGAAAATGTTCTAGGAATGTAACTGTTAAACACTGGGAAAGGGGGAGTATTGTTGCAAGCCCCAGCTTATTGGTTTATTTTCTGATAGCATATAACTGCTATATTTGAAATAAACTTGGTTTTCCATAATAAAACCATCTCTGTGCTTCCATAACTCTTAGTCAAGTATTGTGAAATAACCGGCCAACAGTTGACAGAGTGAAAAGGAGAGAAATCCTTTATGCAGGTGATACTAGAAAACATGTTAAAGTTATTTCAAACTTGAGTCAATCAATGACTGTTATTGTCTCTTTTCACAAAAAAAAAAAAAAAAAGTTCGTTCTGTGCAGGTTTGAAGTTGAATACTGAAAACTTTTTTAAGGAGGTTGAGTAGTATATTCAGAGAGCAAAGCAGCTGAAAAAGAAACGTCTTTTTGTAGCCAAAGAAGCAGCTGTACAACACAGGTCTCTGCACCAAGGATGTGGACTAACTTCCATGGTGTACATGTACCAGAAGTATATAATGTGTGAATGTGTTGTTTCAAATGGAAACAACATTTGAAATAGAGGATGATTTAATGATTCATTTACCGTCTGTATCAGTGTTGATGGTATGGAAATTAGCAACTCAAGAAGCCATAGAAAACCACAACAGCCAGAGTAGCAGAGTCTAAATTCTGGCAGCAGACCACGATTTGTGCTATGCGTTCTCTATATTTAGCAATGTCCCTGAATCTAACTAAACTAGGAAAAATACTTTTACAACTGAGATGATAACCACAGCCTAGACTTAAAATACGAAGAGCTAGTAAGAATGTAGTTGAGTTAAACTGTCTCTGTCTTATTTTAGGGGGATCCCAGAACAACCTCTAGAGGATGCTCAGTTATGTGAAGAAAGAAAGAAGAAAACTATTATTTGCTATTTTTTCTTTTATTTCCTTGGGGTTTTTTTTTTGTTGCTAATTTTTGTTCCTTCCAGAGCCACTGAAAACTATTTTTATATGTATCATCTGATTTCTTTAAAATTTACTTCTTGGTACATTTTTATAAAAAACAAACAAAAAAATCTTAAAATGAACAAAACTGCAAGAATTTTTAATAAATTTCTTTATTTTTCCCACTTTGTTGAAAACACTATATACTACGTTTTGCCCCATACAAAGTGTAAAATCTGTACAAAGCTGCAGCAGAGAAGAAATTCTTAGCTAAAATGGAACAGGACTCCTTGAAGGTATGGTAAAACTGTAATTGATGCACATATAACCTTGATAGCTTACAAAAAAAGTAAAAGAAGTTAAAGTGCATTCATGTGCAGGGCCTCAGGAGAGACTCAAGATAGTGCTTCCTCCATCCTTCAAGAAATGGTAGGGTCTTTCTGGTATCCTCAGCCGTGCCCACCTTAGGAAAATTAGATACCAAATTCATCAGAAATGCTGTTCCACCAATGGAAGTAACAAAGGGAAGCTGCATTTTAGACAGGTCTTGGCTCAGGGTCATGGCATGTTTTCTTACTCCAAGTAGGATTTGACAGCCTGGTCGTAAGGACATCCAAATCCTGTCAAAACTTTAGCTCCGTATCATTATTATGGCAGATGGAGAACGATGAGTTCTGCTTACTGAAGAAAGACGCCATCTTAACGTATTGAAGTGTCAAAACCAGAATTTTAACTATTGTATTTTTAGGGGATTTTGACATTGTCACAAATTAGACCTTGTTAAAACGTAAATGCAAGTTGTGGTGTACAGTAGTTATGACGTTAAGCATCTGGTTTAACGTTTTTGATTTATTTGGCATTAAACAGAACGATTAATGTTTTAGATGTTAAAAATATTTTTACTTTTGGCAATGATAAATATTTGAGGTTTTAAAGATTATCCTGCGCAAATGTTTTTTTAAATCAGACCTAGATGCAGCTTGTTCATACTTCTGTTATTCAAAGGGACATTGTCAGATATTTTAAGAAACAGTACTTACAAAATAGTACAGAAATATTTTAATGCCTTTTTATTAAAGTTAACAGGAACTGCTGTTGGTTTGAACATAAGCGCTGATGTTCAGAGCAAACTCTAACAGTGAACAAAGGGAATAATCCTTTTTATAAAAAATATTTTGTATTGGTAGGAGTTTGTCTTTTTTTTTTTTTTTTTCCAATATGATATGTTTTGTATCTGACAGTGTCCCTTTAGCTTAAGGTTTCCTCTGATCTATTTCTGTGGAGGTAACTCTTGCCTCCTGGAAGGTTATTCATGCAGTAGTGCATCTTAAAGATGGAAGAATACTTGACTGCTCCAAAGAATGTTTTGGCTAAAGTATAAGCAAATGTTTTTTTCCACTAGTTGTTATTTTGGGTACTGTTTGATACCAGCATAGAATCCTGTTGTCACCTGTGCTCTTGAAGTCTTGATCTTATTATTCAAATAGTTTAGACTCATCAAACAAGCTACAAGGTTTGGATGTTTTCGGTGGCTTTTGGATGTTATGTTCTCTGAACAATATTATGACTGACCGATATAACCTAGAAGGTCAGTTTAGTGGCTTTGACTGATGGCTTTCCAATGCAAGTAGGGTGGGAAAGAAAGTGACTTTTTAAAGCTTATAGATTTATTGTGTCATTTAAAAATAAATCTTAAGATGCTACTTCTCTTTGAAAGTTCAAAAATACTTGAGTGGGATGATTGAATTTCTGAAATTAAATGTTAATGCGAATTTAGAATTATGCTTTAGTCCATAATCAGAAGATCCATTATGAAAAAGCAGTAGGAAGATTTGGCTGTTTGGGATAATGGAATAACTTAGCCATTTTTCTAATGTCATTTTCCCACCTTGTAGAAGGCTAAATATGTAGTAAATCATGTCTGTCTCTCTCTCCCTAATATGTATCTAGTGAAATTATGTTTCTCAGACAAATTGTTATCAATTACTTTTTCTAAATTTGTTGTTATGCAAATGAATGCAATCAATGTAGAAGTGTCTTTACGATGCACCTTCCAGCCACTGGACGGCGTTTTCCTTTCTGACTCACAGCTTCTAATACATTTTTGTAATGTTTCAGGGGGGTTTGTGGTGGTGGTGGGGTTTTTTCCCCCTTAAGATCTGTATTTATTTGTTTACATTAGCCTGTTTGCAGATTGCTTGTTTTAAGATTGTCCCGCAGCTTAAATACAAAAGCAATGACTGTGTAGTTCACTGGAGAATCATTTGCTTTTTTCAGTGATTTCTTTCTGTAGAGAATGAGCTAGAAAGGCAGCTTGAATGAGGAAGGACCTCATGCTACCTGAGCCATAGTTTTCTTAACATCTACTGTATGGAAGAATGTGTTGTCTTCTAGCCTTAAGGACCAGTGCTTGCAGATCTTGTGTGATGAGTACTGTGCCCTTTAGTAACAGTCTGTAACAGTCTGCAGAATTTGACCCTGGATTTAAATCGTTTCCTGTAACTTTGGAAACACTATTTTCTTCTTCACTACCGTGTTTAGATATATACAGTTGTTCCTATAATGCAATGATTGACACTGTGGGAAGAACTGAATAGAACAGACTAAATGTAGGTGATTTTGTCACCAAAGTAGTTTCTGAAAGGCTACTTAAAATATGAGAAATAATTCCTAGCTGTAAATCAGAAGACAAACTACTGTATTCCAATTCCTGTTTGCATTTCTGTCTTTCTTTCTTAGACACCATTCTTTCCATTTGCTTTTGATGCTAAGTTTCCATATAACTGCACTATCAGTTTAAAGTTGGTGCTACATATTAGGAGGTTTTTGGTTATAGCAAACCAGAAAAGCACTGTCTCTTTTTCTCTCTTTCAGGAATTTTTTTATGTAATTATTTTCAGTATAATTAAAGCTTTTTCTTCAAATAAAATCCAGTGTCCCTATGCCCTCTTTTCCTATTTCATCCTGGAGGTGAACCACTTTTGAGAATTTGGAGAATCGTCAGCATTTTTACTCCAGTGTCTGATGTCAGGTGTACAGTTTGAAAAAGAAACAGATTTGACTTGTCAGAAAACATGATTTTGAGGCTTCTCTAACTAGGGAATTTAACCAGTGTATCTTACAGCAGAATAGTTCTTTCAGTGTAACTCCCCATGTGGATGTTCTTATTCCAGAAAAATAAACAACTTTATTCTGGATGAAATAGTAAAAGTGATTCCTAGAATTAGGCTGTTCTTTTCACTGTGCAGATTATCAACAGAGAATGATATAAAGTACTGATATATGCGTACCTAAGTTTGTGCTGTGTGAAAATGCTCGTGTTAGAAGAAATGCAGCTTTCTGCAGAACCGCTTGTAATACGGCATCAGTGAGATATGGTTATACAGCCTCTGTCATTTCATGCCACTTCCTTTCCTGATGCTTCTGTATTTGTTAACTTAGCTGTTGCGTTGTACTTATTTTTGAAAAGCGGTTCCTTATTCCAAGCAATAGTGTGTCTATGATTCCTTTGTTGCTGCACAGCTTTTCTTCCCAGTGTCTGCTGAGGTTAGTTCAGGACTCTGGATTTGCCCCTGCAAGAACAATAGTTTACAGTGATGCATTGATCATTTGTCTTCAGCACTGTTTTGCCATTAGATGGGAGTCTGCTGGCATAATTAGCATTGGTAGCAGTAACAAAAAAGTCTCAGGAAGAAAATAAACATCTGCCTCCCATGGCCTGTAATGGAAAAGCCAGGCTAGCTTGTCTGCAGCTTTCGTTTGCCATGACAATTGCATCACATTGTGAAGCAGATCATACTGTGAAAGGAGATTCACTTAATGTGTGTGTATATCCTCGAACAACAGGACACCTCATGTTCATTTCAGGGGGGGATCTTACTGTTTTTTTTTTAATACACCGTCTTTTTTTTTCTAAGCTTTTAATGCTCATTCTGTATAAAGGCCCACTACCTGCAACCTGAATAGGGATCAGTTAGAAGAGGCTTCTCTCTACTCCCCAAAACGTTTGAAAAACTTTTTGTGTGTCAAAAGGATTTCAGTACTTGTTGCTGGTGTATGCTCTATATGTTTTGTAGCCACTTTTTTCACTTCCTCACTGTTAAGCCATTTTATTACTTCTTTCTGTATCTCCTATTGAAAGTCTTATCTCTAAACGAAGGCATATCCATATTGGATACTGGATTTTATTGCCACTGTTGGGTCCAAACCCAAACGATGTGTGAGCAGTGAACAAAGCCTTGTTGTAAACCAGTGAGTGGAAGGTGAGATAGTGATTGCATTTTTTTAAAGCGTTATTTTAGCTGAATGTGAAGACAAATCACCTTAGAGATTTTCTTTTGTTAAATACTTAAAATGGCCTGGGAAACAGAATTTTTATTTGCCCTTCAATATGCTTAGCTTTAAACCACTTTAAAATAATGTAAAAGTGTTTTTTAACATAAGACCATATTTACATGTGATTATTATTTGTAAACATAATGCCTTTCTTGAAATGCTAATGTCTAGAGAGTGAAAAGGATGCTTAATGTTGAGTAACTCAGTTCAGAATAGCGCAAGCACTGTATTGACTTGGAGATCAGGAAAAGGAAATGTACTTCATTGAACTTCCAAAATTTCTAGTTAGTTTTAATAAAGTAGTGATTCTGTGTTGGTAAGGTAGACGTCTTTGTGTATTCCAGCTGTGTATTCCAGCCACAGTTTTACACTAAAACTATAAGCAATAAGCTATTCTAAACAAGTTTAAGCCAAAAGGCTTTACATTTGGGCACAATTGTACTGTTTTAGTTGAACTCTGTTTTCATTAACAGTGATGCCTTGTGACTGGAATTGTGACTTTTAAAACACAATCTTATTTAGATAGCTCTGCTTCTAGGTCATTGGTCAGTTTAACTGACTATCTTTGGACAGCCGCTGCAGAAGTTTTTGGAAAGTTCAAGTTTTTAAAATCAGGAATTGTGAAAAAGGTTGCAAATGAAATAAAAAGACAAAATGATGGATATGTTCCCATGGAGCTTAAGAAAACTACATGATGATCTAGACTTTATCATTTCAAAGGTTTTTTTTCTTGTTGTTTTTAAGAATATGCATGCCAAATGTCCTGTCTTTTTCAATGATTTGTAATATACATTTTATGACTGGAAACTTTTTGTACAACACACTCAAATAAATGTTTTGCATTTTGTTTGTTTCCTTCTTTCATTTAAACCACGAGAGAGAGACCACATGGGCTGTTTGGGATCATTTATCCCAGCGGACCTTCCTGTATATAGAGAGACAAGGGATAATTAACTATCCACATCACTAGAAGAGATTTACTGGATCATATGGTGTGTTCCAGAAGCACCAAAAAAAAAAAACCCTATCCTTTTAATTTTATGCAAACATAGTGCTTGTGAAAAGTGCTGTCCTTACTGACCGATGGCATGACTCCCAACTAAAGCAAAGAGGACAACTTGGGAAACCAGGATCAAATAAGCTTCCCCTTCCTTTAACCATTCCATTGTCCCTCTGAAGCCCCTCCACTGAAGGGGTTATTTCCATTTAGCCCACTTGGTCCTGACTTGAGAGAACAAGAGGAGATCATTAAGATCCAACAGGATCCAGGAACCAGGAAATTCTTAGGAACCAGGAAATGCGCTGAAGCCCTGCCATGAGCTGACTTGTTTATCATCAGCCTGAGCTAAATTTCCAGTTAGTGATTTGGCCCTCCCGATGGTGATCTCTGAGCCACTGTTGTCTGAACTGAACAAACCTCCATTTTCTAGCAGGTGAAGGAATAATACAGAGATTCTGGACAGACAGCAATGCAGTCTTCTGGGCTCACAGGCCATTTATTTTCACCAGTCTGTACTACTACAAAATCATACCATGGGCAACCACCAAATCATCTTTAGCTGATGTATATTTTCTGAGTATATTTTCTAAGAGGTGATAGGAATAGTTATGTAAGTATCTTGATTCTTTTTTTAAAGGGGAACAGATGCACACAGAGGATAATATGGTTTACAACACTCTTCTCTGAATGCAGGCCCTAGCTAGTGAAGATGAGAGTAGTTTTGGCTTTAGCATTGACACAATGCTTGGTTCCTCATCTGACAGGGAGGTAAAGAGCAATTTCCTTTCTACACAATGGATTTACTCCTGCAAAAAGCCAACTAACACGTTGCCTTCTTCCACTTGCTTAAACCAAATCCTACAGCATTATTTTTCTGGAGGATATACCATAACAGGATTAATGCAGGCTTTAATGATACCTAAATTGAGGTTCTTACCTGAATCATCTAAGCTAGAGCAAACACTTGTCCTGTCATCAAAGGACGGCAGACACAATTCCAGAGAACAACGAACCAGGTGGGGAGCCCAGATTATAACGCTCATTTCAGCAAGTACCACTTCAGGATGTAGTTGTGTTGCATTTTCCTGTGCCATATAGCTTAAGTCCCTCCCTGCTGCCGCAGTATGTGAGGTTGTGCTTAAAAGGTGGTTCTCAAATGCTGTGCTGTGTTTAACTTGGGAAACGCCACCGGTCTGGCTTATTGTCCAGACCAACGCTAAGCCAGCTGCACTGGCACAACTGGGGAAGCATTAAGTAGGAGAGTTACCTGGCACAGTCAAGGAAACTGCAATATATAAGTAAACACTCAGGAGGAAATTATGGATGCAGAAGTCCCCACGTTAGGCTTTCAGTTGCCTCCAGTTCTACTTCTTCTAGTCTTTGAGTCTCTCCTTTGTAATCTGAGCATTCACCTACAGCAACACAGGCTCGCTTTTGCATTTATGGAATGGGTGGCATAGAAACCTGATTAGGAGGATGTTGCTGCTGAGGCCTTCTACAGACAGCTGGAAGTAGCCTCACGATCACAGGCCCTGGTTCTCCTGGGAGACTTCAACTACCCTGACATCTGTTGGCAAGACAGCACAGCTAGGCACAAACAGTCAAGGAGGTTCCTGCAGAGGATTGAGGATAATTTCTTGACCCAGGTGGTGTAGACGCCAACAAGGAGAAGTGCAATGCTAGACCTTGTACTAACAAACAAAGAAGGTCTGGTTGGAGAGGTGAAGGTTGGGGGCAGCCTTGGCTGCAGTGAGCATGAGATGGTGGAGTTGAGGATCCTGCGAGGAGGAAAAAGGGCAATGAGTAGGATCGCAACCCTGGACTTCAGGAGAGCTAACTTTGGCCTCTTGAGGGACCTACTTAGGGGAATCTCATGGGGTAGGGCCCTAGAAGGAAGAGGGGTCCAAGAAAGCTGGTTAATATTCAAGCATCACCTCCTCCAGGCTCAAGATTGGTGCATCCCTCTGAGTAAGAAGTCGAGCAAAGCGGGCAGGAGACCTGCCTGGATGAGCAAGGAACTCCTGGCAGGCGGGCGCCCACCTTTTTGGCCCTGCCATGCACACGGCTCTCCCACTACCACTCCCGGCCTCCTTTCCCTCACCTCCTCCAAATCACCAATGACCTCCTCACACTTGACCACCTGCCTGGCCACCCTCCTCCAACCCCTTCCTAACCACTCCACACGGCCACCAGGTGGTGCAATGCCTCATCCCATTCCACCTTCACATGCTTCGGCCACACTCACAACAAGGGCCTAGCTCGCTTTCCTCCCCTCCTCACACCTTCCCACCAGAGCACCCACCCTCCTCCCACACCTGACTAACATGCACAGGTCCCCACAAAGAGCTGCAAGGCGGGCGCCCACCTTTTTGGCCCTGCCATGCACACGGCTCTCCCACTACCACTCCCGGCCTCCTTTCCCTCACCTCCTCCAAATCACCAATGACCTCCTCACACTTGACCACCTGCCTGGCCACCCTCCTCCAACCCCTTCCTAACCACTCCACACGGCCACCACGCGGCGCAATGCCTCATCCCATTCCACCTTCACATGCTTCGGCCACACTCACAACAAGGGCCTAGCTCGCTTTCCTCCCCTCCTCACACCTTCCCACCAGAGCACCCACCCTCCTCCCACACCTGACTAACATGCACAGGTCCCCACAAAGAGCTGCAAGGCGGGCGCCCACCTTTTTGGCCCTGCCATGCACACGGCTCTCCCACTACCACTCCCGGCCTCCTTTCCCTCACCTCCTCCAAATCACCAATGACCTCCTCACACTTGCCCACCTGCCTGGCCACCCTCCTCCAACCCCTTCCTAACCACTCCACACGGCCACCACGCGGCGCAATGCCTCATCCCATTCCACCTTCACATGCTTCGGCCACACTCACAACAAGGGCCTAGCTCGCTTTCCTCCCCTCCTCACACCTTCCCACCAGAGCACCCACCCTCCTCCCACACCTGACTAACATGCACAGGTCCCCACAAAGAGCTGCAAGGCGGGCGCCCACCTTTTTGGCCCTGCCATGCACACGGCTCTCCCACTACCACTCCCGGCCTCCTTTCCCTCACCTCCTCCAAATCACCAATGACCTCCTCACACTTGACCACCTGCCTGGCCACCCTCCTCCAACCCCTTCCTAACCACTCCACATGGCCACCACGCGGCGCAATGCCTCATCCCATTCCACCTTCACATGCTTCGGCCACACTCACCACAAGGGCCTAGCTCGCTTTCCTCCCCTCCTCACACCTTCCCACCAGAGCAGCCACCCTCCTCCCACACCTGACTAACATGCACAGGTCCCCACAAAGAGCTGCAAGGAGGGAGGTGATCCTGGGATCCTGGGAGGTGATCCTGCCCCTCCATTCAGCCCTGGTGAGGCCTCACCTGGAGTACTGTGTCCACTTCTGGGCTCCCCAGTGCAAGAGAGACATGGCACTCCTGGAGAGAGTCCAGCGGAGGGCTAACACGATGATTAGAGGGCTGGCACACCTCTCCCAGGAAGCAA